CCCCCCCCCCCCACCCTCCTGCCAGCCTCCCGGCCTCATTCCCACCTTAAGGCCTCTGGCCTGGCTGTCTGCTTCTGCAGCCTCCTCGTCTCCTGTGAACCTTCCCACCTCTTGGTTCTGATGAGCACACTCCTCTACCCTGACCGTTTGTGGCTCCCCACTACCTCCAGATCAAAATCCTCCTGACCTGGCCTTCAAGACCCTCTAGCACGTCCCCTTCACCCTGACCCGTCCCCCAGACTCAAAGACAGGTGTTCCCCAAGCCTGCCCTGCAGGTCCCTCTTGCTAGCGCAGACCCTCCGCCGATGCCTTCCCCACCTGCCCGCGGCCCCCCCAGCTGGCGCCCGGTGGTGTGCCTCTGTCACCGTGGTGTCGTACCTGTGTATTGCCTGGATGGGTCCTCCGAATGTGATCTTGCGGAGGCCACTCAGTGCCCCTCCTCCCTCTCGGCACAGTGGTTTGTCTGCCGTGTACGTAGGAGTTGAGTAAACGAATGAGCGAGGCCCGCAGAGACGCTGCCAGCCCTCTGTGGCTTACGTGTAGCAGGAGACATAGCAAGGTGCCGCCCGCGCTGGGCGTGCCGCCTTGGGGAGGGCAGACGGGACTCCTCTCCTGCAGGCTCCAGGCATCTAAAACCAGCGCGAGCGCAAGGCCACCCTGAAGCAGGGCCCGAGCAGGCTGGGGCCATGTCCGTTGGGTGCCTGGGGGTGGCACAGGCACCGCAGAGGCTGGAGGAGGGACACAGACTTGTGAAAGGACATGGCCACAGTGCCCGAAGCCCCAAGTCCCCTGTGGCCTTCAGCAGGAGGAAAGGCCCACCAGGCATGACCTCTCGGGGCTCTCTTGTCACAGCTGCTCACCAAAGATTCAAAGCAGAGACTGGGCTGCCGGGAGGAGGGGGCTGCGGAGGTCAAGAGACATCCCTTCTTCAGGAACATGAATTTCAAGCGCTTAGAAGCCGGGATGTTGGACCCTCCCTTCATTCCAGACGTGAGTAGCCTCTCCAGCCCAGGCTGAGCCTGTGTCCTCCCTCACGACCTTGACTTAGTGAATGTCCTTGAACTCCGGGAGGATGGGGCCAGGGGGCGAGTGAGAGTAGCGGGTATTAGCACTGCGACAGCCACAGCTCGTGGTTCTGGGGCCCGGCTCCGTGGCAGGCACTTACATCAGCCTCAGGCATAGGTGCTTCCACTGTCCCCACTTGGCAGGTGAGGAGACTGAGGCCTACAGGGGTATGTGACTTCCCCAGAGTTCCTAAGCACCACAGCTGGGAGCCCAGCCCAGGCCTGTCGGGCTGCAGAGCTTGGGTGCCCAGTGGTGTGAGAGGGCCTCCCTGGGCCCCCAGCATTCCTTCTCTGTGTGGAGGATGGGCCGGAGGCCCCAGCTGTGGCCGCCCTCATTCCCACAGAGATGTCTAGAAACGCTCCCGCCATCCTGATCCTGTGGGCTCTGGGGGAGCGGGGATCCCCGGAGGTGCCGAGGAATGTGAGTCAGAGAGGGCGTGTCCCGTCACCCCACCGCGGCCCCAGCCTGGAGAGAGGGGTGACCAGCAGCTGGCATAAAGGTGATGGCAGGAAGGAGCCCCTGGGCAGATCTGTGAGAGAGAGCAGCACCGGTCCGCAGAAGGGCGCCCCCTCCGCCCCCCATCAGAACCTGCGGCTGGGGTGCCGGGCCTGGGACAGGGCCCATGTGACCGAGCGCCCTGCCCACAGCCCCGCGCCGTGTACTGCAAGGACGTGCTGGACATCGAGCAGTTCTCCACCGTGAAAGGCGTCAACCTGGACCACACAGACGATGACTTCTACTCCAAGTTCTCCACGGGCTCCGTGCCCATCCCGTGGCAGAGCGAGGTGAGCAGGGCGGTGGCCGTCTGCACCCTGAAGGGGGCCACTGGGCCGGGGGGACAGGCCCGGGCTCCGTCGGCCGTTGGCGTGGGGGTCAGAAGAGGGACAGGCGGGACGGACACGGTCGTCTAGCGGACTGTCTCGGGAGTCTGGCGGGGAGAGAGGGCCCGGGCTGGGGGAAGCCCGCGCTGCTTCCGCAGGATGGGGCAGGGGAGGGGGCCCTGACAAGGGGAGGGGCGCAGAGCATGTGGGGCGACCTGGGCTTGGGTGGGGTGAGGAGGAAGAGGAGGCGTGGGTTTGGTGGCTGGACGATGAGCACACCCCCGCGGACGGTTTCTGCTTCCTCAGTGGAGGCGGCTCGGGGAGGCCGGCAGGGGAGAGGCCGTGGCAGGCGGGGAGCGGTCGTCTGGGCCTGGGCCCCTGAAGGATGCAGGGTGGGTGGAGGACCTATTGGGAGCAGGCTCAGGGCAGGGTGGGGGCCGCAGGGACTCCTGTCCAGCCAAGATGACTAACACAGCCCCTCGTGCCGCCTTCGCCCTGCTTCTCCAGATGATAGAAACCGAGTGCTTTAAGGAGCTGAACGTGTTCGGACCTAACGGTACCCTCTCACCGGACCTGAACAGAAGTCACCCTCCGGAACCGCCGAAGAAAGGGCTGCTTCAGAGAATCTTCAAGCGTCAGGTGAGAGACGCCCCCTCTGTGCCCAGCTGTCCTGGCGCTGGCCCCGGGATGGCCTGGGCCCAGGTACTTCCCCGAGACCGGACCCGCGGCCTTCTCCCTGCGTGTGTGGGGCGTGGGAGAGCAGGGGCCGCGGCAGCCTGCCCGAGCCCCTGTGCCCTCCAGGTGAGGGGATCCGCAGGGCGGAATCGGGCAGGGCCGGCCCAGAGCTCGCCCTTCATCAGGGGTTCTCGGCCTCACCCCTGTGGACGTTCGCGGTGAGTTCTCTGTCGTGGGGGCTGTCTCGTGCACTGGAGGATACTTAGCAGCCTCCGTGGCCTCTACCCAGCAGGCACCAGTAGCACCGCCCTCCCACACTACCGATCGGAAACGTCTCCAGACCTGGCCCCTTGTCCTCTGGAGGCGAAGTGTCCCCGACAGAGAACTAACTGCCCCATATGGCCCTTGTAAAGACTCAAGTTCTGTAGGTAGCGATCGCACGTAACAAAAAGCAGGCAGAACAGGTGTGGGAGAGAGGAGCCCTGCAGACCCTCATGGCTCCTGGGTTGGGGCCCCCCAAGGTGGCTGCTGTGGCCTCCAGCTGGCAGCCTCAGGAGACTTTGCCCCTTGGGAAAAGGCCTTCTTCCTCAGAGCCTGTCCCTGGATTGAGGGTTCGGCATGGCCCAAAGGAAGAAATGTCCCTGCAGGCCTGTGAGAGACCACCGAGGCCCTCACCTCATCCCCCTTGCCCAAGGCGGCCAGAAGAGCGCCCCCTCCTGGCCTCCCTTGAAGAAGGCTTGGCCCAGTGTGTCCATCCCACAGCCTGGGAGGCTCCATTATTTACACTCCCCCCACCCTCCACCCCACCCCCAAGGAGCTGCCCCTCTCCCCAGGAGGATGAAGAGGGAGAGGCAGAGCAGCTCTGGTCCCCAGGCCTCCCAGCTCCCCCACCCCCACCCCCACCGTGATAACAGGATGGGGTGGCTGTTGATGGCGCTCTGCTTTGGACCTAGCTCTGCACCGAGTGCTTTTTGAGGGTTTTCTCTTACTTAATCTCCACAAAAGCCTGGGCCTTAATTCAACCGTTCAGTTATTCGGCCAGGATGTAGCGAGTGCCTACTGTGTGCAAGGCTGTTTCCTCAGGGTTTGAGATGCACCAGCAAGGCAAACCAGGATCCCTCCTTTTTGGGGGTCCTAGTGCAGTGTGAGCCCAGGGTGTGCTCCCATTACCCCACTTCACAGATAAGGAAACTGAGGCTGAGGGAGGGTCAAGGTCACAAACGTCACACTGCTGGTAAACCCATACGAAGGATCTGGGGATAACGGCAGGGAGCTTGGATCAGGCACGTGGAGAGAAAACACAGACTGAGGGCAAGTTCGGGGTTTGATCTGGAAGCTTCATGTGAGTTTCACATCCTGTTCCAAAATAGACTCCTCTTTGTATCCACTTATAAAAAGATAATTTTAAAATGCTTCCACCAAGTAAAATTGAAGTTCCCCAAAGAAAGGACCTGTCCCCTTCCACATGGCTGAGTCCCTAGCACGTACTTAGGTCCTGGGACAAGCACTTGCTACAGAGGCTCACAGACCTGGGGTTCACATCTGGCCCTGACACTTTCTGCTGCTTGGGTGGCACCGTACTGACCTGTCCCGGCCTCTGGGGGCCCTCCTGCGAGATCAGTGCCCAGGGCCAGCAAGAGGACTGAGTGGCAGAGAGATCAGTAAGAACAAGCAGTTCCTGGTTCTGGGGCCGGGCACTCACTCAAGCCCTCTCTGCACACAGCCTCGCTTCCCGCCCCACCAGCCCAGTACAGAAGCAGCTCTTGTCCTGCACGGCACGCAAGGCAACCAAGAGATTTGATAACTTGCTCAAGCTAAGCGACAGGTTTCAGACCCTGGGCCTACAGGAATGAACCGTATAAATATTCTAGGAGGGGCTGCCTCCTCCCTGCCTTGGGGTCCTTTTTTTTTTTTTTTTTAAAGATTTTTTTTATTTATTCATGAAAGACAGAGAGAGAGAGGCAGAGGGAGAAGCAGGCTCCCAAGGAGCAGGGAGCCCGACGCGGGACTCGATCCCAGGACCCTGGGATCATGCCCGGAGCCGAAGGCAGACGCTTAACCATCTGAGCCACCCGGGCGCCCCTGCCTTGGGGTCCTCTTAACCCCATAGCTCTCCCCCTGCCCCAAGGGGTGGCCTCTGGCCCTGGGTCTGCAGCGGAAGAAGGGCACAGGCAGCAGAAAGCAAGAGGAGCTGATCAGCAGCCCCTGACCGTGGCCCTGTTTTCTGATTCAGAGGCCCCTACACGTCCACCAGGACTAAATCTGTCTCCCTCTCTCTCTCTCTCTCCTCTCTCTCCTCCAGCATCAAAACAATTCCAAGAGTTCACCCAATCCCAAGACCAGTTTTAACCACCACATAAATTCAAACCATGTCAGTTCAAACTCCACCGGAAGCAGCTAGTTGGAGCTCTGGCCTTGAAGTCCGCGGTGGGACCAGCCTAGACCCTTGTCCTTAGCAGCAGAACTTGTGGACCGGGAGCCCTCCAGGAGCCGGGAAGGAGGCCGGCTGCCTCCTTGACGCAGAGCCTCCAGGTTTCTCAAAGAGATTTCCACTCAGGTCTGTCTCCAGAGGTGGCCCTCAAGCCGACGTGGAACATTGCAATAGAAATCCAATTGGATACAACAACTTGCACGTATTTTAATAGCGTCATACCTAGAACTGAATTTTGTCTTTATTATTTTTAAAGAAAAGTTTTGTAAATTTCTCTATTGTCTCAGTTTACATTTTGTATATTTGTATTTAAATGAAAGTCAGACTTTGAGGGTGTATATTTTCTGTGCAGCCACTGTTAAGCCATGTGTTTTAAGGCATTTTAGAGTGGGGGGGGGGGGGGGGATTTACAAAAAAAAAAAAAATGTGACTCAAGACTTCCAGAGCCTCAAATGAGAAAATGTTTTTATTAAATGTAGAAAATGATTCACATTTCACCTTTAAAGGATTGGTTGTATCCATCTCTCTAACCTTTCCCTCACACATTGACGTCACCATGCTGTTGGCTTGTAACAACCTGAATTAAGCGCTCCAGACACACTTGGGACTTCAGCCCCAGTCAGAACATCCTCCGTGGGGTCTCTGGACTCTCCTAGGGCCAATGCGCACATTTCCTTGAGAGGCACACGGTGTCTGTGTTGCTCTGGCCTTGGCCTCCTCTTCCTTCTGGAAGGCGGCCGGTACGCAGAGCTGGGCCTCTTTCTTTCTAAGCAGGTTCTAACTGCTAAAGCCTGTATGTTTTCAAGAGGCTTGCATTTGGGGATTTTTGTTTTACTCTATTTTTTAAGGGATGCATCGTGATGATAAGGAGTAGTCATGGAACCCCAGCTACCCCAAATCCTGTGGCCTGAGGAAGCATCAGGGAGTGGGGGTCAGTGGAGTCCTACCGAATGAGTCCCTAGAGGGGGAGGGAGGCTTGCCCAGGGACTCCAGGCACGTTCCTCAAGTGTTTACGGGGTCACAGGGTCTGGAGAGAGATTCACAAGGCCCCACAGATACCCTAGCCCAGGTGGCATGGGTGGGGTTGGCTCTCCAAGCAATGGCATGGCTAAGGAGAGGGCCGGGATACCACGGAAGCTCAAGACAAACTCACTGTCACTTCCTGGGAGAGGCGGGACTAAGATGCTCTAAGGGAGCATCTCAAAACTTCAGGCACAAGTCGCCCCCAGGAGGACTCGGTGGCTTTGCCAGGCCAGGGTCTTCCGAGGGCAGTCCCCAGGTGCTTTGAGCCCCTGGGCACCTCCTCTTGCCTCTGAGAAGTGACAAGGAGCAAATCCACCCTCGCCTCCCCCCTGCCCCAGAACAGGGGGAGTGGTTGACACCCCCGCTCCCCTGCCTGGCTGAGTCCCTGGCGACCGAGTCACCCTCATTCAGACCCGGCGTCAGCCACCCGGCAGTTGCCAGGGTTCCTCCCAGTGTGGGTCCAGCGCTACCTACAGGCGGCTCCGGTCAAAATGCAGATTCCTGGGTCCCACCCCAAATCTATGGAACGGATTCTCTGGGAGTAGGGCCCAGGAATCTGCATCTTTAAGAAGCTCTCCAGAACATTCTAACATACCCTCAAGAAAGGGCACTGCTGCCTTAGCTTCAGTGGGGCTTTGGATGCAACTCTCCCAAAACGATTTCTGTGAGCCGGGCAGCTTGGAGCGCGAGCTTTGAGGGAGGAGCGCGTAGCGGGCGTGGCCGCCTCCCGTCCAGTGTCCGTGCTCCTCCCTCAGACTGGGCCAGCGGGTCCTGGAGCGCGCTGCCGGAGAAGGGGCGGCCTTTGGGACTGATCGTTTTAGGTCACTTTGACAAACAAATAGCGGAGAAACAACTGTTGGGCCGCCCTGGGATCCCTCCAACGTGCAGTATCATTTTCTTCAAGACCAGCCCTGGCCTCACGAGGCTGCTTCTGGCACCTTTCCTGGGCTGCGTACCAGATAAACACAAACAGCCGTACTCCGTTCTTGCCAAGGAAGTGGAAAGCTCCTTGACCAGTATTTTAAGATCCTCAAGCTCTTGCTGACCCTCCTTTCTCGATGGAAAGGACAGTCATTTTCCTGAGACAGTCACCAGCCCACGCTCCCACCCTCCCTCCTTCCTTTTGCCCAATTCACAGCAACTCCCCGCTTACCGAATGACTGGGGTTGAGAAGCCATCTCTTTTCATGCCTCCGAGCCCCACACTGGCCGACCGCAGTACAGAATCCTCAAGGAGCGGGAAGGAAAACATCCACCTGCCCCTTGTGTTTCTGCATCCCGGGAGCTCCAACGAGGCTAACGCCCGGGCCTCTGTGGGCCTCTTAAGATGACTGGGGTCTTCCTTCGTGTTTGCAGCCTGTCCCCACCGAGTGCCCCTAGGATGGGGTGCCGGAGCCACTGCCTCTCTGTTCCCTCCTGTTCCTTTGGACCCTTCGTTTCCTGCAAGAGAAGGGAAGTCATTATTTAAAACAACGTCTGAAAATCAGCCCACCTGTCCGCCAAGTCCCCCAGGCCCCGAGTCACTGAAGGTCCTGCCCCACCCCCAGCTTCTCCTCCAACTTGTTTTCTAGAGCTGCATTTTTAAAAGATATTTTTAAATTAGGAAAAACAAAACAAAACAAACCCCACCTTCCCCCCCCGCCATCCCCCTGCCTGGGATGAGGTATGTTCGGGAAGTGAATGGATTTTTTTTTTCCCCCCAACATTTGAGCTCTTCACAGAAGGGCCTCTCTTTCTCCAAGCGTGACATTTTCCTCATTGGACGTTTGCTGACCTTGTGCCTTTGAGGTGAGACGCAGGGTCCTGCAGAAACATCTCTGCTTCCACTTTTCAGGAGACAAGCCGCTGTCCCCAGCGGGACAGGGGTGATCTCTGCCATGAGCACCACGACTGACAAAGGTTTATCAAGCCCCCTCGGGGGTGGGGTGGGGTTCCCATAAGACCACCCACAATATCACCAAGGCCTGAGCCCTGCCTTCACGGGGAGCGCCACCCCATCCCATATCACTCAGTCCCGACTCTTTCTAGGCTGGGAACATCACTTTTGAAACCGTGCGCTTCCGAGGGCTGCTCACTTGCACAGTTGCTAAGTGTTGCTGTGTTTCCAGTGGCCCCAGAAGGGCGTGTTCCCCGAAATACGCTGCTCTTAGCAAACCCTCAGTCTTGGAGGGGCAAGCCGTGTGGAGAGCAGCGTACCCGGGTTTTACGCACGCTCGACAGGTAGCCTGCCACGACACATGGTGGTGAGTTCTGGGGACACGTGTGGACGCCACCTTGGCATCAAAGGCACAACAGGATGTGGCCACCCGCCCGGGAGCCCAACGAGCCCTGACGACGCGGAGGGCATGCCCCAGAGCAGCCGGGGTCTCCACACCTCCCAAGGAGCCCTACCCACTGTCGAAGCTCCTCGTCACTCTTCCACACCCCATCCTTCCCTGAAAAGCTTGGGGCATCGGCTTCCCACCGACTCTCCCAAGTGAGCCCCTGACACAGACATGACTTTGGAGGGAGCACTGCGACCTCCTTGCACCTGGCATCCCAGGCCTGGCCAAAGGGACCGGCGGCCTCGCGGACATCCCCCCCGCCCGCAGATGAAGAGGAAGTGCCACCTGGGAGACATCAGCCCCCCTCTTGGGCCGCGGCATGCTCCCATGTCCGCGTGAGCACCTGCACCTTCCGAGGACAACCTCTTGCGTGGTGTCCTGTCCTCCTAGCCCCACCCTCTGAGACGGGACCTCCTAATTTTGCAGCCTCTCTTTGGAAAGAGAACGAGTGTGACCTCGCTGTGCATGTTGAAGCAACAGAGCTGAGTCACGACCAGCACAGAGCTCACTTCCTTCCATCACAAGGGACCAGGACAGGGCAGCCTCGTCCCCTGAGGCCCCTCCCCCATTGCCTTTGGAAGGCCAGAGTGTGCGGGTCAGAGCCTGTTCCCTGCGGGCCCGGGTTCTCCGCTGGTCTCGTGCTGGGAACAGTGGTTAAAACATTTGAAAAGCTAGCTCTCCCCGGGATGGGAAGACGCTTCCTAAAAGAAGAATCTAGATGTCTTTCTCCAGTCCGTCAGTAAATCATTTTTGTAATAGATCAAAAGCAAATGTTCTCAAGTCGAAGAGCTTAGTGGCTGTTGGTAGAGTTAAAATAATAATCCTTCTAGTATCCAAAGCGTTCTGTTTTGTTTTTTTGTTTTTTTTTCAGGGAAATTTTCACATTGATGATGAAAGAAAATAGTTCCATTTTGGAGGTTCTTCCTGAAGATAACGGCTTTGTTCTGCTGCTCTGAATCTGTGTACGTTCCGTCTAATAGGTCACTGTGCTGCTGTATCTAGATGGAACCACTGTGGTGTTTTTTAAGAGAAATAAATTCCTTAATGAAAATAGCATTGCATTTCTTTCTGTCTGCACATGGCTGTCACCCCCAAGATGCAAGCACCTGCCGACCCAGTGTCTTGCTTAAGCCCTTACGGCTCAGCCCCACCCCAAGCCCATCCAGGCTCCCCCAGACCACGAGAGAGCATTCACTGGGGGAAAAGGTGTGCTCTGAGCCTCTGACCCGGGGGGGGGGGGTCCCATCACAGGGGGCTCTCTCTGGGACCTTCTCCCACCCTTCCAGAAACCTCCACTGCCTGAGCCGGCCTCCCTGGCAGACAGAAGCCACCATCCTCCTGGGACTTACGGTCTGAGAAATTCCAGCCCCGTAGCACCGGCCGCCCCACCCTTTACACCCCTCTGCCCGGCAACTTTGACGTCTTCCCAGGCAGACGGACGCAGGCGGTGCCCCTCCCTCACCTCCTCCAACCACTCAGGCCCCTTCCCTTCTCTCGCTCCGGACAGCTGTGGGTTTAGTAAGTGAGGGCACCAAAACGGTTTCCAACTAATTCATTTCCACGAAAGGTTCAAAGCGGGCATCCCCAGGGCACCCAAGGAGCTTCAGGCTGCTCTCCCTCCAGGAGGGGCGTCCATAAGGTATCAGGATCTGAATGCCCTCCCCGGAGACTGTGAAGAGGAGAGAAAGTCGGGGCCTTGGGAACAGGCACTCAATGGGCGGCAGGCCAGGACTCCTGGCACCACCTGGACGCCGACCTCACTCAGCGGCCAGGGGCCTGGCTCCACGGCCTGGGGGGAAAGAGGCCTGTTCAGATGCCTGGTGGCTGAGTTCTCCTCCCTACTCAGTCACCAGGAGTTTGTTGAACTCCTACTTTATCCACGGCACTCAGAACCAAATCAGAAAAAGCCCCTGTCCTCCTAGACCTTGTATCCTAGGGACATGGGCCACCACTGGCCAGAAAACCACAGGGCACAGCGCAGGGCCTCTCACACTTCGAGGAGCGCAGACTCACCTGGGTGGTGTGATAAGATGCAGATCCTGACTCAGTAGGTCTGAGTCTGGGT